AAAAATTACTTATGTTATTATATATATATATATGTGTGTGTGTGTGTGTGTGTGTGTGTGTGTGTATATATAAAAAGTGAGATCTGTGAGAGCATCAACAACTTGGCACAATTTGGACGCCGAGTGACTTCATCACCGCTCGTTTGCTGGCGTTTGTTGGTTGTAACATGCATTGTCGACGGCAAGCATGGTGAAAATATGATCGATCGCCCGCACAGCCATTCTTGTCATCATCTCCTTCCCTAGCAAAAATCAGCGTGCGCACGACAACGACAACAACGACACAGCCATCGGCGCGCCTCTCTTTCATTTTAAATATAACAGTGTATAAATAAGTATGAGCAATAGCGGGAGTGCGCGGCGAGACTGCTCGCGTTGCCACCATCGTTAATTTTTCTCTCGTCTCCGCGCGCGCTCGCGAATATGCGATTGTTTATCCACGCGTTTTGCACGCCAGAGATAGATTGAAAGAATACAAGTGAATGAGAGCAAGAATATAAACGAATAGTACGTGCCGTCTCGTTGTATGCGTTTGGAAAATTGTTATTTTTTTCATTCTTATTGCAATCTACGATGATCTTTGTGCATGGGCATGCAACACTGAATACAATCAAGGTTAGTGTACACGGCTTATTTCAATGTTGCTACAATACTTTCTCTACTTTATCAAATCGTCATCAATAAGAACGATAGGACAAAACGAGAAATAATCGAGAGAAAATATACACAGGGAGAAAATATAAGGACAGGGTGTAAATGCCTTCAACGAACATTATTAAAGTTTGATAAAATTCCTTTGATTATGTTTGTAATAAAAATAAAAGTAAATTATGTTTCTGTTAGATTAAAATTATTGAGCAAACTTTACATCTTAACTTTACATCTTAACTTTACAATCTTAAATAACATTCTTGATATTGAATTCCAATATATTCTGTAATATAAAATCAATTTTAACGAAGTAATTGCATAGTATACGTGTATACATGAGATTTATCAATTGCGATCTTGAGGCAAAAACATATGGTTATTATGCTTATCATGTGAAGCATCTGAAATACAACTTTCCTGATGTAAATAGAATATTTATTTATTTTTTTAATTTAAATATTTCAATCATTTATATGATTTAATTAATTATGTGTTCTTTATTAGAAATTATGATGTAATTACATGATATACATGGTGTATATACCTTGATAGTAGATTGGTGACATGATCATTGAACAACGAAAACATTAATATAATTAATCCCCCGTTCACTTCATTTTTCTCTTCTCCATTCATACTCTACTTTTTCTCCTCTTTTTCCAATCCTTTCTTCTTCCTCGATATCTCTTCCTTTCCTTCTACCTTTTCCCTCATTGCCTCATTATAAGTTCATATCTATAACTTTATATTAAGGAGATACTAAAATTGTTTGTTTTGAGTAAACGTGATTTTTTTATGTCAATTTTTTGTATTGCATTTATAAATTTGAAAAGTCTTTTTTATAATTAAAGTATATTAATTAAATAATAGTAAAGTACATTAATATCTGAGAGGAAACTTTATACTAAAAACAAGAGAGTATTTTAAATTTAAATCTTTATCATTTTTTAGTTTAATATCTAGATCTGTGAACTCATGATAATGATTGTTCTATAAAAAAATATTGTGTATATATTTACGAAATTGGTACCTAAGATAAGCAGATTATACAAAAGAATAATATTGAATTCTTAAAATTAGATATTCAATATGATACATAAATTGAAAATTTTTTGCATATACATATATCCATAAATGTATGAGTGTATGTATCCTGGAAGCAAAATAGCAGATATAGTTAGCAGTATTGGCAGCAAATTTGATTAAAACATGTAATCCTGCATTCATATTTAGCTTACGTTCAACCGGCGAAGTCTTGTTCATATATATAATCTATAAAGGTAGATTAACGATAGAAACCGAAGAGTCTGTCGATATAACTTGCCAGCAAATTAATAGCAGAAATCCAACAGATTTGTTGTATTGTATTTATATTTATTATATTCGTTATTTAAATTACGACGTTATTCGTATGACAATGTCTTTAAAATGATGTCTTTATTCTTTTTCTACTTTTTATTTTAAAAGAACAATTTTTTATTAATGGAGAAATTAATATATTCTTTATTAAAAATTAAATTTAGTATAAATTAATTTAGTTTTATATATACATATATGGAGTGTTCAGTTAGAGCTGTATTGTTTTTCGTAGGTAGATAAAGCGAATTAAATCGAGTAAAAAGATCTTTGTTTATTTTACAAACTTCAAATAATTAATAAAAGATTTATAAAGGTCCGCGAATGAGCGTGAGTCCGCATCAACAGACAAGCTTTATGCGTATTATAATTGCACGTGATGAAATATTTGGAAATATGATCTACAAATAATAGAGCATCCGCTAGTGCATATTTCGAAATACTTTGTCGTATTTCCTAATTGTGAGTGCGCGTAACACTGAGATTTAAGCTGGAAGCTCATTTATTGATAGCTCATTCACAGATACTTATAAATTAGTCTCATTAATTATTTTAAAGTTTACAAAATGAGAACTTTTTTCAGTACTTTTTTTCAGTACTTTGTTCAGTTTAACCCGTTCTATCTGCTCCTTACAATTATTGTACATGTATATATAACTTATACATTAGAAATATATTTTGAGAATATTCTTAAGATATAATAAAAGTATATTATGGTCCTTGTTTTTTCTATTAATTTGATTTTGTAAGTATTATATTTGTTAACTACGAAAACACAATCATACACACACACACACACACACACACACACACAGTAAGTGCATACAAAAGCATTAATGTAAATAATTATATATCTAATCTTTAATTATATACTATAACTCTACATAGTTTTAATTATGTAGAGATGCTGATAAATTTTACGTATGAGAAACGGATACTATCTCGGATTTCGCTTTAGTGTAATTATTGTATAAATTATCATGCAGTGATAGCGCAGGTTTTGCTCGGCTCCTATCGATAATCTGTCATCAGAATTATAGTAATAGATTATGCTTTGTTTGTTCTGTTACCAATCTATCGTCAAATTGTATGAACAGATTCTATTTGATTTCTGACATTGTGCTAATTGGATTATCAGGCTCTGTTATATTTTTATTAAAATTTTCCTGGGATCATATGACATATTAATTACTGCATCTATCAAATCTATAGATATTCTGTTAACAAAATTTATTGTAGCAGATACTTGGCAAAATTTGCTTTCGACAAACGGCTCTCTGAGTACATATATATGAATACATGTATATATAGATGTGCATATTTAGACACTCTCCTGTCGGTATTTGTTTTTTATTTTAGAATTTCCTTAAGGCTCCTGAGTACTCAGCTGAGAATTCCGCGTTGACGTACCGTCGCGGTGAAAAAATAGAAACTCATTCATTCTTGTTCATCTTATCCTTGCCCTTGTTCATCTTTATATAAGTTACGTGCGGATAACAAAATTTTTTATTGCGGCTATTTTCATTATTATGTTCTTAATCGTGCAGATGTGACTTGTTTCGTACTTATCAGATACTTACAGTAAAAATGGACAACTAAAATTATCTTTGGACATTACATGTAAAAGCATTTTTTTCACTTTCAATAGCTTCAATCATGTGTTTTCTGCCTGAATAGGCTTCATTTCACGTGCCTTTTACTATTTACGTGTTATTTGACTATCAGGAAGGGAAAATGGGCAGCTACCCATTTTCACAAGTGTCTTAAAGCTATATCAGGTGTTATTTAGTCAAATATCAATATATAATCAAATATCTTTTTATTTGTAAAACTACAACAAACTTTATTGTCTCATTTCTCGCCTATAACGTCACGATTCCAATATGGCCGCAGTGACTACTCAGGAGCTTTAAATACCATAAGAATGTAGAGATACTCGAAGTTTTGTTCACAGTATTATAAATTTGAAATATTTTTAATTAATTAAAATAGGTCAGATCAAATCTTTCAAATATTTAAATATTTAATATTTTTTCATATCTGATGAAAATTTTATGAAAGTTATTAATTTTGCATAATGTATAACACTGTTACAGTTACAGTTATTTTGTCTCAGTAACAAATTGATGATGACATTATATTCTTCTATTAATAACAGAATAGAATGATAACGCGTAATTATTTTTTAAGTGGTAACGAATTTAATCATTATTTTTGTCATTACTTTGCATATGTTCAATCATATTTTTTTTTCTTATAGAAATTTAATATTAATACGTTAGTAATTAATTATTCATTTTAAGTATTAAAATAGTATTAGAAATTTTAGTGATCGATTACAAAGCTCGTAATGATTACAAATATTTTAGTGCTTAGGGTTACAGTAATTAAATATTATATTAAGGTTTATAATAATAAAGGTTTATATAAATTCTCAAACATAATGGATACTGTTCAAATGATAAATTATCTACGCGACATATTATTATAAATTATAATTAAGTTACTATAGTTAAACATTTCTAATATTTAAGTATATAATGAAATGCTTCGTTAAAATAATTTATACACATAGAAATATTGTCTTTTGAAACCTCAGTGGAATTATGTCTGAGAACAAACATATATTGCACATATTTTATAAATTAAATTAAATAAAACAGATCAGCTTATAGTAAACCAGATGTTTATTAAGCAAACTCAACTTTATTATTGAAATTTAAAAACATTTATGTGCATATAAATTATGCACATAAATGTTTTTAAATTTCATTTTTGCTTTAAAAAAGAGTATGTAATTATATATTGCATATTTTATTAAAAATAATTATACTCTCTTATTTTCTTGCATTAATCTATTTATTTTTTTGCATTAAAATTTTTAATATTGAAAATAAAACTTTCGTTTATAAAACATTACAAACGGTATATGACCATTTACATCTATCTATCTATCTATTTATATTTACATCCACTTTTATATAGAAGATATTTCCTCTAATTTTTAGAATGTTTAGAATGTAATTATTCTATGTGTGTTCAAATAAGATAATACGAAGAAATATCAAAATCATTCGCTTTAAAAAAAACATTTTTTCACAGTCGTTTTATGAAATTTTGAAGTCATTGATATTTTTTTAAATAAAATTTTAAATTCCAATTAATATTGTTTGTTTTTCTTTATAAAAAATAACAAAATTATATTAAAAATTACTTTAATTTATATTTTAATTTATATTTTATTCTGATATATTTCGATACAAAATATAAAACATTCCATGCATTAATTTTTTAATAATTCTATTTTAATCGTTTTATGCACAGTGTAATAAGATAGTATGATTATTTTTGAGTCAAATAAGTATTTTGCAATGTATATAATCATTTTTAATATTTTTTTATAAAGTAAATCAGATAAAATATAGTAACTCCATTTTTCAAAAATAGAACTAGTATATGAAAAATTTATTCTATATTTTAATTTATTTTAGTTACTGAAGAATACTACTTTCTTCTTGTATTGTT